CTGTCTGCATGACTTTCTTTTTTCTGAACACATAAAAAAAAAAAAAAAGTCTGGTGTTTTTTTTAATTTTTTTGTCCATACAATAAAAAGTCAATGGGGCCCAATGTTGTTTAGACCCCATCGTTCTTTAAAATACTTTGTGATCTGTAGTTTTATAAAAACGTTTTACTGAATTACCTGTACAGAAGCTTTAAAATCAATTATTACATTCGTTATTTCCTGTTACATCCTAAAAAAATCCATCCCACCCAACTGACCTAGATTGTGAACCCAGCACTCTTCAAGGGCATCATTACCCTGTGCTTTTCTTGATCCACAGCGTTGTGTGCTCTGGACTAGTTATCTATTCCCTTTGGCGCAAAATCCCATGAGTCCCCTGGGTAAATGATTGATGGCAATCTGGCTGTTTCCAGGAAGATTTACATACGAGATTGCTTAGCGATATTGTAAAGTGTTAACACATATGCCATGTGCAACTATCCCATGGCTGCAAATATACAAAATGCCAAATAAAAATGTTTCGGAATGACAGCCATCATACTCTGAATCACAGTTCAAGCCAGTAAATCCACAATACCTCCCCTCTACACCCTTCTGTTTTTCTTCCTCCTGCCAAAAAACAAATGGAAAAAAGTCTTAGTATGGCAGTTTCTCATGCTAGACATGATCCCTGTGCTAATATTTTGATTGGCCAGCACTCAGATATCTTACTGTGCATCCCACTGAGAATAATGTGTGTGTGTGTCTATATATATATATATATATATATATATATATATATATATATATTTAAATAAATAAATGCATATTCACAATAGATACAGGACTAGATGTTATTTGCAAGTATCTGTGCTTATCAAATGTACAGTATGACTGAAGTTTCTTAATAATCTGTCTTAAAAGGAATAGTACACACAGAATTATCATCAACAACATTGTCATCATTTACTCACCTGCATGTTGTTCCAAGCTTTTATGACTTATCTCTTGTACATGGTTTGGAATGCCATGAGGATATGGTGACAGAATTTTCATTTTTGGGTGAATTTGCTTGTGTAAATTTAATTAAAATGCTGATGTAATTTATTGTAATTGTTCTCTGTGATCTGTTGACATGTAAACCCCAAAATTTACTAGATTCTCTGTACTAGTCTGGACGCACACATTGTCTCTGGTGTTTATATAATAAATCCTTCAGTTTTCATTGCATCTGGATGTCCACCACTACTTTTGGAGAATGAAATTTGTTTTTTCGCTTGTTTTTTGGGGGAAACAATCCAAAACACAGATGGATTGGGTTAATTACAATATTGTGCTGGGTTTTTTTTTTTTTTTTTTGGTAAACCTCAGTGCTATTTAGGAGGATGTTCAACATTTCAACACTTAAAGGCACATATTTCAACGCTTATTCTGATTTCAGGCTACTTTTTGTGTTAAAAAATGTTTAACTATAGCACCGTGGCCAAAATTTGTTATAGACATGCCAACCAAATACAAAAACTTGTCACAAAACGCAGGCTATCACTTTTCTAAACATTCACACTTAAAGGGCATATTGCAGGTTAGAGGACCCAACAAGTCAATGCATAGAAAAACAATGTAGGAACTAGATTTTCTTTAAAATATACGTATAAACACGCCACAGAAGCTTCTGCAGTCGTTTTTGTGAGAAAATTTTACTTCCGCGTCTGAAAATGGGCGTGGCGGGCGTGACGCAATGAGCGGGAGAGCGGTCGATTCACACAACAGGAAAACAATGAATCGCAATGACATTTCGGACGCTGAGGAAATACTCGTATGACGGATCAAGCCATACAGTTATGAGCCTGCTATGCTAAAGAGATCAGGGACAGGCCAGGATAATGTCAGACAGAATGGTCAGAGAAAAATTGAGCTGTGATGTGAGGAGAACCAGTGGAGAACAGGACAGGTGCCTTTTAGGTGAGAGACGTACTTATAGTATACACGTTCGCTAACGATATACACTGTGCTCACAATACTGTACAGATAATTATGATCCTATAACAGGCCAGCAGACATTAGTATGTTTAGGGTAGATTTATATACTATTAAATGTATAAAAACTTTACTTGAGTATATTTCTATACTAAAAGCATAGGCTATACTCGGGTAAATTTTTAATACATATTTTTCACCTTGGTTATAACATAAACAGAACATTAAAGGTTTGAGTATTTAAACAACCAATTTTGTTTTTCAATTACAAGTTTTATTTAGGGCATGACATGACTAAGTTACCTATATAACACTATTTGATGCCATTGGTAGTATACGACGATCAATATTCTTGCTTCGGCATACCATGTTGAACTCCATCATATTGCCGGGATGCTAATCATTTGATCTGAAGTGAACGCTACACACGACCGTGTTTTCCGAGCCGAGAGGAGAAATCCCGTCTCTTCACCTGCTCAAACCGCACCAGGAACGAAAGATAGGCTATATAGCACAGTCACTTTTATTGTAATGGAAACTTGTGGACTCGATCTTGAAGTCCTGACAGGCTGGAGTTTTTGCAATCTCCACAAACACAATATTTACCATGACGATGATAAATTAAAATGCAAAAACTAACGAAAGCACACTGACTGACGAGCGCTCTCACTGAACACCAGCCTGCTCTCACTGAGCCGAGGCTGCGGCTCCCTGCTATGACGTCAAATGACGCGACGTTGAAAAAAAAGCCGTTTTTACTAGCAGTCCAAGAAACGCTCCCTTTATCTTCTAAATTAGTGTCCTTATGTTGTTTTAAAACATTTTAAATCCTGCATTAACTTTTCATATGGTATTTTCATACAAGGTTATCTATAAATTTCGATTTTTTTTTTTACCTGCAATATGCTCTTTAACGTTACTATTTTGCCTGGCAGTTAAAAAATAGGGTTAAATATACAGTTTCAGACAGAATATTGCCACTTACTTTGACTTTTTTTACTTACTATTTTGCTCGTGTAACAAAAACAGGTTCACCACATGAAGAGCAGACTGTGTGGAGATTCGTTTCTGAATTATTTAAAAATTAATCTGTGTTTTGAACGAATCGAACAACTGAATGATTCAACGACTCAATTGTTTCTGAATGACTCTTTTGGACGAACTGAACAAACTCATATCTTCAGTCATTTATCGCATACTACTCGGCTATCGATGTAAGGAGATAAAATATTACATCCATCTTTTTGCAAAATATTTAAATATCACTGTATATAATAATTTATTATAATATAAAATAACCGTACCAATGGCTTCAGTGAGTCAGGCTGATTCAAAAGAGAGTTCATGAGTCTTTTAAAATGATTCATTAATTTGCGAATCAACAACTCGAGGCGGACAACTTGATGGAAATTTAGGGGTAAACGGACTTTTACTCTTATCACATTTAATTGATTGATCGCATTTAATCAAATGATTTTAAAGTATGACTTATTTTGCAGGTTGCTGTAGATTTAACAACAGCGGTTGCCTCTAAAAAGCGGTGCAGAAAAAACAATTTAACGTTACAAAAAGCTAGGTTTTTGACAGATATCGAGATCGTTTAAATAAAGATTCCGTTTAACTGGAAAGTCAATATTTTTACCCAGCGCTAAAAAAAAAAAAAAAACAACGTTAACGTAACAGGGAATGACGAAACCGAGTCAACGTTTCTTTTGAGGTTACGTAGCTAAACGTTAGTAAACAACCGCCCTGAACTCAACAACGCCTTAGCAACCCACCCGGATTTTTTATTTTATTTTTTACAGGCAAGCAATTCTCATTTTCTTCGGAAAAAAAAATACTTTTGTTATTTTAAATTCTCATGGGCTGCACTTGTCATGGTAGTTTTAGCACTGTTTCCATGGTTCTTACAAACATGGTTTTCTGAAAGTCCCTGCTCATCTAACGTTACCCCCCACATTTCTTCATCTAGCTCTCAGATCTCTCTCTTCCTCCTGTAGGAAAAGGAACATGAGTTACTGTCCTGTAGAGAATGATAACTGCCTCTGCGTTTGCAATCAAGGCATATCTCTGTCCCTTTCCTGTCTTCCGTCTCTCTTCTTCATCCTTTCTTCCTCTCACTTCTGCGCTGTCTCTCTCTCTTGTGTGCCTCTGTCAACAAAAATGTTTCCCTGAGCCAAACAGGTGCAAAAGCCATAAGTGAACAACAGTATTTGGACACTTAAATCACACTCATGCACACAAACGCAAACAAAGTGTCATCTGTGCTCAAATGCTGCTGGATCTTTTTGTGATTATTCATCTTTTATTTGAAACACATGGCAGTTAGTTTGAATGTTTTTTCTTATCTAATCCATAGACATTCAGACATTTTAAGTGAAACGGCAGTAGCGGCGTATCTTTGCTTCTGTATTGTGATGTACATCCTGCATACATCAACAGAGATCCAGCAATTTGATTAAACAAGGTCAAAAAATGAAACACGCATGGATGAATTACCTGCACAATAAGATCTATAACATGCTTTTAGAAAATAGATAGGAAGAATTTCACTTTAAGTGTCTTTTTGGGGCCACTGTTGGGGCCTTCGTGTCTGAGGAATGTTCAAAAACTGTACAATAACAGAGGAGAGACGAATTATGGGATGAGGAGAGACAGAACAGAGACATGGACATTTCTCATGGAGGAGAATGGGGTGGCTGTCACTGAGGTTGAAGGATGAGGAGTTCAATATGAGTAGCTCTGTTTAGCAGATACGTGTGTGCATGCGTGACAGTGACAAGAATTTGTCCTGATCCTTTTCTAGTTTTCTTGATTTCTCACTTTAGTTTTGCTTTTATTATTGTGAGTGTGTACAGGTGTTGCTAAGGTGTTTTGAGATAGTTTTAGGTTTTAGCCCATAGATGTGTGGTTTGTATTGCCATGCAAATGGCGGGTGGTTGCCAAGGTGTTGCTATGCAGTTGCTAACATGTTCTAGGCTAAGGTATGACTCTAAGAAAAAGCAGATTTCTAACAGTTTTTCTTGTGTTTGTGTATGTTTTAGGTGGGGGCGAGATGTCAGTAAAGCTGAAGTTTGATTGTCCGGCTGATGGCGGCATGGTGCAGCGGAGCCGCTCCTTCACAGGAGTAAACGCACTCGGTGGCCGGAGACGGTAAGTGAGGATTGTTTGTGTTTGAGACAAGATGATGTGTTGTTTCCATCTGTGTCTGATTGTATTACTTGACTTTTCTTAAGATAAATGTCCTCAAAGCAGAGGCCATGAAAGCTCACGAAAAGCATGACTCTTGTTCACTGGAATTTATGAAATGAGGACATCTTGGGGAGGTTTCAAAATGTTGCACAAAACATTTGTGAGGAGTCTGAATCTTTTCTGCAATAAGGCCATGCATGTTGTTTTTAATCAACTAAACTATGTAGTTCATAAACTAAAACTAATACAAATCTGCAATTTACAGTAGGCCTATTTAAAATGAAACTGAAATAGAATATGACAAATAACTTATTCTGAGGAAAAACTAACTTAAATGAAAAATTAAAGTTGAACTACTAAAATTATTAAAACAGAAGTGAAAATAAAATGCATAAAAAACAAGAACTAATTAAAATTACTAAAACCTTCACTTGACTTAAAAATAAAAGCATTGTACTTTTTCTAAACAGCATTTTTTAATTAATCATAAATATATTTCACTCAGTGCTAAAAAGTTTTAGTTCATATTAAAAATGATCAATTTAATCCAATATGTTTCTGTAATACACTTATTTAAAGAACTACAATCCCATAAAGCATTGTGAACAGCATAATTAAATAAAAACCGTAGAGAAATATAAGACTACTCATTTACAGATGTTGATTATGTATAAAAACTATATTTTATGAATATATTGCATGGCGTATATGGAGATCGACTCGATTCCATGGGAGTGGGTGGAACTAAAGAACTGTTTTGGAACATGATGCTTTTTCCAACTCTGATTGGTGTAATTTTCTGCACTGCATCATGGGTAATGTAGTTTTTTCAGCAGGAATTGTTAAACGCGATGATTGAAATAATGCCTGATGCCTTCAGCAGAATCATATTTAATGGATAAATAACCTCGTTGCTTAAAGTAGTTCTGTCTTTAAAGGTTTATAAGTTATAATTCAAAGTCATTTTTCTTATGAAGAAAATTAATACAATTTTTACTTCCAGAACCCAACTGTTGCACTCTATTGATGTTCTAAATCATTCACAGGCTCCATCTCAGTTAGGATGCGTTGTAGGGAAGCTCACTATAGGTTTTGGAGCTAGCTAATACCGGATGTGGCTTACAGTTTTTCTTTGATTGCTTATAGTTCTAATTCGCCATTCCACACAATCCGAAACATAAACAAGCTTGTGTTATTATGTAACGGCAGTGGTTATTTCAAGAACCAAAGGTCCTGAGAGGATGCACACTTCGGATTCAACCACAAGCATCCTCTGTGAGCAGTGTGACAGCTTACATAAGTAAACACAGCTGTGTATGTGTGTGCATTTGTGCAAGTTTTTTATTTAGTCACAATAGCATTACATTCCTGCATTCCCAAGTAAAAAACTGAAACTAAATGATTGCAGACAAAGGCCAAAACAACTTCTGAGGCGTATCCGCCTGCTTCTAATTTGTAAACTCTTTATTATATGGCAGAAGCTTCACAAACCTGCATTGTGAGAAAATGCTTTTTAAAGGGATACTTCAGGATTTAGCATTAAGCTTTGTATTAGTCGAAAACCTGTAGTATTTTCTTTGGTAGTTGGGCGATCAGTAGTCGAATGAGCACTGCATATTAACAAATTTATGTAGATTTTTGGAAAAAATGGCCAGATTACTTTTTCTTGAGACTGTGTGCAACCTCTTTGGGTAGTGAGTGACTAATTTATGTGAGCAAAATTTGTGTCAATTTGGCTACATTACATTGGCTGTATTACACCAGCACTGTAAAAAAATATTGTTGGTTTAACTTAAAAAAAGTAAGTAACCTGGTTGCCTTAAAATTTTAAGTTGATTGAACTGGAAAAAGTGAGTTAATGCAATGAAGGAGATTGATTTAATAATCAGAAACTCAAAATAATAAGTTATCTCAACTAAATAAATTATTTAAGTTGATTTGACAAAAGAACAAATGTTGTGATAACAAATCTTGAAAATATTTTTTTTACAGTGTACCATTTTAACAACATTAAAAATAAAAAGTTTTTGTAATATATGCCCAGTAAGTTGTTTTTCACATAAATAGTTTTAAAAACACACTAAAAGAGAAAATATCGAGAATCAAGCTCTTTATTGAGAAAAAGGGCGTTACTTGTGTCATTGTCCACTGAGGGACCTCGAGTTACAGATGTCAGTGATGGAGCCAGGAAGTAATATACTGATGTGAGAGAGCCAAAGCTTGTGTTATTGGTGACCCCCAGTCAGAGCAGCGCAGAGGAATGCCTTCCCTAAGAGAGTTTATTGACATTGCAGAGTCATTGAGTTTGTATGCTGTGTAAGCATACACTGTCAGAACATCGCTGAAATATGTAGATTAAATTGTGGCTGTAACTAAAATGGGATGTGAGGATTAAATTCAGAATATAAAAACATGTACTACTGTTCAAAAGTTTGGAATCGCTAAAACAAATGTTGTTTTTGGCAAGAAATCGATACTTCTGTTGACCAAAGTAGTGTTTAATTGACCAGAAATACATTCAAAAACATTATTAATGTTCAAAATGATTATAGTTTGAAATAACCACAATGTGATCATGAAAACCTTCATTTTCAGTGTTTAAGGAAAGCATTGTAATGTGAGAATCTGTTCTTATTCGCCTGGTCATCTGAAACCATTGTGCTAATGAGGTGTGGAAATAGCAATGCAGTCTTTTTTCAGTTTTTGAATTATTACATTCACTTGTGAAGTTTAGTTATGTGGCCAAAAGCAATACATTTCTCTATAAATTGATTATTCAGTTATTTTAAAGTCCCCCTCTAGTCAACTCACCTTTGATCACCAAATTGACATATTTAAACGAGTTTTCCTTAGAAAATTAGTCATGCCTTGTAACTATTACACCCTTGCCTCATTTAGTATACGCGTTTCTATGAATATGCAAATTTGCCCCACCTTCACTCACTCACAGCAGCTCAGAGATCCACACGTTGACGTGATTGGTTACAAGGAAGTTTGTGGCGTCAGAAACACCAGCGATTTCAAACCGTGTTTTTTGAGACTGTCTTTGGTTCACTGCAGTTTTAAAGAAAAAATAAAGTTGAAGTAAAAGGCAAAATGCTAATCAAATAGGCAGAAAAACATAAAGGTTTGGGTAGTAAATGATTAGACAGGACTATTATGGATGGATAAATCTAAGTATGAGGTCTTGATACTTAGATAATTAAATCAAACTTATAGGAAAAAGCATAATGATAAACAGATTTGATAATCAGAGCGTCTGAGGAACAAAGTATTTATTTGGAACAAAAAAGGCATTTGTAACATATTATAACTGTCTTTATTGTCATTTTTATTAATTATTGAATTTCACATTGAATTAATAGTGATTTCAAGTGTTGAACGGTCATACGGTTTTTAAATTTTTAAAGAAATCTCTCATGCTCACCACTGCATATAATTGGTCAAAAATACAGTAAAAACAGAAATATTGTGAATTAGTATTATTATTATTATTATTATTATTTAAAATAAATGTAATTTATTCCTGTGATGCAAAGCTGAATTTTCAGGATCATTACTCTAGTCTTCAGTGTCACATGATCCTTCAGAAATCATTATGCTGATTTGATGAATAGAAAGAACAGCATTTATTTGAAATAGAACTGTTTTATAGCAATATAAATGCTTTTAATGTCTCTTTTAATCAATTTAATGTGCCCTTGTTCTATAAAAGTATTAATATATATATATATATATATTTTTTTTTTTTTTACAATAGTGTAGTGTATATCTTTTTTCGCCATCTTAACTATTCCATCTCACCCTGCAGACTTTCCTCGGCTCGTAGCTCTCTCCGCACAAAAGTCATAGCAGGGAAATCTCCCAGAATGCCCTCTTCGGGTCGGGTGGGCAGCAGCGTCTGGGGGCAACAGCCTGAGCAAGTGGACAGAATCTTCCAGGCTTTGAGGAAAGGGCTCAAGTATGTGCAGTCATCGTAGTAGAGTAATGAAGCCATTTGTGGACTGCACACACTAGTCTTGTGAATGTTAATGACATCTCATCCCGTATAGGGACTACTTGGAAAACCATCAAACAGAGCTGGACTTCCTGTCATCCCAGCAGAGAGACACAAAGAGGAACTCCAGACTGGTGAGTCTTTGTACTGAGAATAACTTCAACTAGGCCTAATTCAGCTTTTTCATGTATTTTATTATTATTATTACCATTATTTATTTAACCCTCAGGCCCTCAGGTGCTCTTCGTTTTGGAGTCACACTTGTTATCTTCCCGGTCAAAAGTGACCGGACACCTAAAAATTAAATTTCCTCCATCCCAGTAAAACCAATGCAATTTTTATAATATTTATTCTTTGTAATTTAGTATTTTGAGACAATTTGATTGAATTTATTAATATAATGCAATATTTTAATATATATATATATATATATATATATATATATTATTTTTTTTTAAATGATTAATGCAGTATTTTAGTTTAATATAGAGTCTAGGCCTTCAGAAAAAAAAAATATTTTTTGAAGAAAATTAGCACCATGGTTACAGTATAGAGAAAAAGCGTTGAATCATGGTGTAACCACTAGATGGCATGTACAGCTCTCTATGGAGAAGCATGTGAATTCCCCAGATGTTTATGAACACTTTTTTTTTGTGGATTTGAATATATAGTTAAAACGATTTTTTTATTAAAAAAAACAAATGTAAATGTAAATTTTTGTGTTTTTGTCAATTTCCCATTCATTTCCTATGGGGGTCATTTAAGACCACAAGTGTGACTATTTTTTTTTTACGACCACTTAGCATGGTCGGATCATGACCTCAATTCTTTTTTTGTATTCACATACATAATGCCATAGAAGTCACCAAGTTTCGTAACATTCCGATGAAGCTGTGATTTTTAAAATTTCAAAACAGAAAAGTTTTCGGTCAGAAATGACCGAAGAGCACCTGAGGGTTAACACAGTTTTTAAAGTAAATATAAAATAATACATAACTATTCTTCATTCCTCAGGGTTTTTTCTATGACCTGGAAAAGGTACGTTGCCATTAACAAATACTAATATTTAACCATTTGAGTGTTTGTTTACAATTTTTTTTTTTTACAAAATGTAATCTTTTTATGCCCTGCTTGGTAACAGGAGATACGAGCCTTAGAAAGATACATACGACGCTTAGAGTTTCAGATTAGTAAGGTAACACAACCTAAAAATACTCATTTAATTTGATTGTAAATGAACACTGGTCAGATTTGCTACGAATAAAGCTATATCGTGTGAATGTGAATGTGGATGTCAACAGGTTGAAGAGCTGTACGAGTCGTACTGCATCCAGTGGCGGCTGTGCCAAGGCGCTTCGAACATGAAGAGAGCGTTCTCTCTGTCTCCGTCTTCAAGACAGTCTCGAGAGAGTTTACTGGAGCTGAACCGTAACCACAGACACAGCCTGGAGGTAAAGTCTGTCCTGGACACCACACACACACAACAAACTATAAATGAGGCATTTGTGTGGTCATTTTCCCAACCAGCGTAAACACTGTGGCTTGGTGGCTCTTTCAAAACATCCCAACATAACAAGATTGGCTTAACCACACTTTGCTTTTCCTTTATTTGCGGAAGATTTCTAACCAGTGCATTGATGAAAAAGCATTGATCTCACTCTCTGTTTTACACTCATCTCAACTTGCAGGACATGTGTGCAATGGAAGGAGAACTGGAAATCCTGCTGGGAGAGCTACAAATCAAAATGAAAGGTAACACCTCACATATACAGGAATTTGAGTTTCAGACGAACGCTGGTCTCCTAAACATCTAATGTTTTCCCTCTTTTGCTGAGGCAGGGTTGATAGGCTTTGCCCGGCTTTGTCCTGGAGATCAGTATGAGGTGAGGAGGTTTAACCCAACATCCTGGACCAGATACTGTTGTTATACACTTAAAGGGATAGTTCACACAAAAATGATACACATTTACGCTCCCTCATATGTCAGCACACTGCTATTTTCCAGTGAAAATGAATGTGGATGGTTTGATGGTGCATTTATGGTCTCCCAAACTGACAAAAAAGCACCATAAAAATATATGACTGATGGGTTTTGAACGCCATGAGGGAGAGTAAATAATCACAGAATTATCACTTTAATACATAAAAGCATAAAAAGCCGTGGATGCATTTGACCTCAAAAACATCACTCTTAAAGGGTTAGTTCACCCAAAAATGAAAATTCTGTCAGTATTTACTCACCCTCATGTTGTTCCAACCCTGTAAGACCTTCGTTCATCTTCGGAACACAAATTAAGATATTAAGATCGCTCCTGCATACTAGTCCATAGGCTTCTTGAGGGAATGACTTGCTGTCCTCGAAAAGTAATTAAAAACATCGTTAAAATAGTCCAAGTGACTACAGGGGCTCAATCTTAAGTTTATCAAACGACGAGAACACTTTTGTGCGCAAAAAAACAACAAAAACAATGACTTTATTTCAACTATTCGTTTATTTCTCTCTCTGCTTTGAGTCAGGTTACTAGTTTAATAGCGTAAGCTTCTGTTATTGTACGTCACACGCATCACACACATGACCAGCGTCGGCCAATAGTGAGCCTACGTGTGACGTAGCTTTACGCAATCACACTACGTTAACTGACTACAGGCCCATAGAGAAGGAAGTGAATAGTTGAAATAAAGTCGTTTGTTTTTTGCGCACAAAAAGTATTCTCGTCGTTTGATAAAGTTAAAATTGAGCCCCTGTAGTCACTTGGACTATTTTAACGATGTCTTTAATGACTTTTCGAGGACAGCAAGTCATTCCCTAAAGAAGCCTATGGACTAGTATGCAGGAGCGATCTTAATATCTTAAATATCTTAATTTGTGTTGCGAAGATGAACGAAGGTCTTACGGGGTTGGAACAACATGAGGGTGAGTAAATACTGACAGAATTTTCATTTTTGGGTCAACTAACCCTTTAAAGGGAAAGTTTTAACGGTTTGACCTAAAAATAGCAAAATTGAAACTACTGCGGAAACAAAGACACCTACATCTTGGATGCCCTTGAGGTAAACTAAAACATACTAAACATTTATTTCAAGGTGAACCATCCCTTTAATCCAAGACTCAGTGTCTTATAAGCCTATGAAAGACACAAATGAGTTATGGTGCTTTTTTGTTAAAATATTAGGCAGAAATGACATATTTCACCAGCTATTCGATTACATTTTTAAGGCCAGGTTTCCAGTGACTTCATGCACAATGGAATGTGGTCACAAGAGCCATCGACTGGCTGATGCACAAGACCACACATTCACACGCAGTCGCCCTCAAAAGTATTTGGAAAATTTAGACGTGTGTGCATTTCAGTGTATTGGATATCAAAATATATGCGAACATTATGCTAGACATGAGAACGTAATTCTTAATGGTTGTATGAAGTTTTGAACACACATTTTTTCATTTCATTTCTTTTGCTAAATGTTTTGCTTGTAAAGTGTGCTTGTTCTGTTTTTTTCTAATATTAATGCCACTTGGTTTGATATTTTGTTATATAGGTGTTGATCCGGCTGGGCCGTCAGAGATGGAGGATCAGAGGGCGAATCCAGACGGATGACCGACAGCTGTGGGACGAAGAAGAGATGGTCTTCCTCCCTCACATCCATGGGAACTTTGAGATCAAGGTGAGCTTGTTCATGTATACTCAAGCACACACCTGCGCAAATACCACTTCCTGTCAGGGTCGTCTGTGGGGGTGCTAATGACAGAAGGTTCCAGGCCTTTTGTCTGTATACTGTTTGTTAGATCTAAATAGAAGAAACCGCCCACAGACCCCCTGAGAGAGAACGATAGAGATGTTTAACAGACTGTCTGAAGCTTTTTGGACCAGTGTAACAATGCTTATAAAAGGTTTCGTTGTCTGAAATGAATTCCATCCCTGAAAATGCAGACATAGAACTAATTCAGATGATTATGATTTCCTCTTTGTACTCTTAAAACGATCTCAAATATAAAATTTCAAATGAAGCTTTTACTGATTCTAAGTGATTTGACTTAGTATTTTTGTCTGATCAATCCCCTAAACCAGTAAGCAGCCACACATCAACACTACATTGAAACTCGTCGCTGATATGCATTAGGCTGATGAAGATGCTTCAAATTATATCTTGTTTTTTTGACACTGTTAAAGGAGAAGTTCACTTTTAAAAAAACTTTTGCTGATAATTTACTCACCCCCATGTCATTTAAGATGTCCATGTCTTTCTTCATTTGAAAAGAAATTAAGGTTTTTGATGAAAACATTCCAGGATTTTTCTCCATATAATGGACTTCATTGGGTACCAAATGTTTCAAGGTCCAAATGACAGTTTCATTGCTGCTTCAAAGGGCTTTAAATGACACCAGACGATGAATAAGGGTCTTATCTAGCGAAACCATCGGTGAACGAAATGACTCAAAAAAAGATTTGTTGGTTTTGATGAACGAGTTCGAACAGGAGAGTCACGAACGCGCATCACAGTGTGCTTATAAAACGTAAACTTTTTTATTTATTTTTGAAATGGGCGATCGTTTCGCTCGATAAGACCCTTATTCATTGTCTGGAATCGTTTAAAGCCCTTTGAAGCTTCAATGAAACTCTCATTTGGACCTTGAACCTTTTGGTTCCCATTGAAGTCCATTATATGGAGAAAATCCTGGAATGTTTTCATCAAAAACCTTAATTTCTTTTCGACTGAAGAAAGAAAGACATGGACATCTTGGATGACATGGGGGTGAGTAAATTATCAGCAAATGTTTTTTTTTTTTTTTTAAAGTGAGCTAATCCTTTAATGCATGTTACACCATGTGGTCTCTGGTCCTGTAGGTGACAGAGGTCAAGGGGTTGAGCTCTATCCTGGTCGGTATGGTAACATGCAGGAGTGCAGATTTTTTCACAGCACGGCCACAGATGATGGTTGTGGACATAACAGAACTGGGAACCATCAAGCTACAGCTAGAGGTTGTTTGGAAGTAAGTGCCTGCGTGGAATTTACAAGACAGACAAACTTTTATAAAGTGCTAAAAATGCCACTATATATTTATAAAGTGGGCACTTTAAGACATTATTGACCAGGTTTTATATCAGTGATCCCACACCTCTTGTGAAAGTTTGGTTTCAGTAGTTTTTTTATTTAATTTTTTAAACCAATATTTTTATAAAGCAAGGTTTAGAGCTGCATGATTCTGGATGAATTGAGAATTGTGATTTTTCTTTTAAATAGAGATTATGATTCTCCCACGATTCTGAACAGACAACTAAAATGACATGTAATTTATTGGAGGTTCTGACAAATTAAAAATGCTTAATTAATTTAAATGAATTATAAAAAAAAAATGACTCACTCATAAAGACTTTGCTTATTACATAACTAGATGAATCAGCGTTTTTGAACAAACCTCATGAATGAATGATTCACTTAAAAATACATTTTTTTATAATAGCAGTCACTTTTCGTCACCCACTGGTGTAACGATTCACAGTAATTGATATAATTGTTATTTTAAGTTACTTTCAAGAAGTATTTTACTCTATTTTTTTTTGATTGATTAATCGTGCAGCTCTAGCAAGGGTGCATTACACTTATCAAGATTAACAGTAAAGACTTTTACATTATTACTTGAACTTTCTATTAATCAAATAATCCTGATCAGGGTTTCCACAAAAATAAGAAATGTTTGTTGAGCAGCAAATCAGCATATCAGAATGATTTCTGAAGGATCATGTGACACTGAAGACTTGAGTGATGGTGCTGAAAATTCAGCTTTGCATCAACTAAATATATCAATGGACACCAGCCACTGTTACAGCTCAGATGCCTTGACAGCACACTTGATGGATAATTTAATGTTCCGCCCTCTTGATTTCACAAACATGTCAAATACTGTAAAAGTGCTATTTACAGAATATTTGAGGCCACTTTTTCATGTAACTGAGTCGACAAGACACTGATCTCACACACAAACACACCCCCTGTGAAGTACGGCTTTGCTATCAGCTAACACACACCAGCTGTGGAAGAACAGCTGACTGCAGAGAGATGGATAAATAGTCCAACACTGCCCCATCCCTCTCTCACACACACACACCGATCAAATTACATTGGCTTTTACACAGTCCAGGTGGAAACGATTTTTCATAGCCTCTTTTTACAGCGTCACTAAATTAAACACATCTCACAGCCTGTTCAGCATCTCAATGCTTTAGTGTGTGTGTTAGTTCACTGTTGTCACCTCATTTCATTTCCTCTGGTTCTGCTTAGTGTCTGTTCACAGTGTCACTCTTCATCAACCAGTGATGACAAACACACACTGCCACTCCACACATCATGTGTAACCAGAACGTGAGCGAGTTTTATTTACGCCATTTTTGAAGTCTTTCTTTATTGGGTAATGTCAGCTAGTTAAAAAAAAATGTTTAGACATATAACATCAGTCTCTATTTAGTATCAAAATTCATTTTGAAATTACAGTGGTTAGATTTTGAGTGCTAACAGTACTTTAATGCATAAATAACACACTTAGAGATAATATTTAACAATATAATTAACGATATATAACTAACTAAAGCACTAATTACACCACCATCAGAAGTTTGGGGTCAGTACGATTTTTTTTATTGTTTTTGAAAGAAGTGTCTTCTGCTCACCAAGGCTATATATGTCTATTTGTAAAATACAATAAAAACATGTACAATTGTGAAATATTATTAAAATTTAAAAGAAGTATGTAACTAAATAATATAATTAATTTATTCCAATAATGCCAAAGCAATGTTGTGAACATTTCTTATTCTTATCAGTGCTGAAAACAGTTCATATTTTTGTGGAAATCGCTTACAGTTTTTCAGGATTTTTTGATGAATGGAAAGTTCAAAATAACAGCATTTCATTGAAACAGAAATCTTTTGTAACATTATAAATGTCTTCACTTACACTTTTGATCAATTTAATGCATCCTTGCTAAATAAGTGTTAAATACAGATCTGAAATTGTAACTTAAAAAGCATTTTGAACATCAGTTGGTAGTTTATTGTTGAGTGCAAGTAAGTATAGGAGTTTCAGGGAGACTGAATTAAGGATAGGAGTGGGTTAAGGTTTGAGGGTGAGGTTGAGGTCACACACCTACAATTGTGATTATACGGGTAACAACTGAACTAGCTAGATCTGTAGTTAGCTCTAAACACAATGGGGAATGTCCATTGTGTTTAAAGCTAACTACAGATCTAAATCTGTAAATCCAAACACCCAATATTTAATCTTTAGACATTGCTCTTTGCATTCTGTTTGTACCTTTTCAGAAAGTAATTATTGTGGACATCCAAGCGCACCAGAGTCTATTTTTCCTGACAGTTTCTTGTTCCCTCACTTTTTCTTCCTTTAGTCCATTTGATAGCTCTGAGGTGAGGCCTCTCACTGCGTCCGCCAGCCGCCAGTCCATCCACAGCAGAAAGGGATCCGTATATAGCTGGACACCTCCCAACACACCCAGTTTCACTGAGAAATACTTTCTAGTGAGTTTCTGACCTACAACCACACATACACACACTCCCAGCATGACCGCTCACGAAGACTTAAAGGTGAAGTGTGTAATTTCCGATGATAAAACATTTTCTCCTCTCTTGGTTTAATATGCAGAGACAACAGTAACTGAAGCCAGGTGTGCACTGTGAGATTTTTGATTGTTACGTGACAGATTGAACAATGCGACCCAAGTGAGATCTTGGGTGAAAGCCAGTGCAGACTGTGCAACAACAAAAAAATCCTCATTTTGACATCCTCAAGTTGAAATGGTGCAACACAAAGCCAAACAAGATTTTTGTTGATGTTGGAAATGTTTTGTCTGGAGAAAAAGATGCTAATGATGCAGAAATTACCCACTTCACCCTCAATAAACTGTTGTCTTTGCCCTGAAGAGCTGAAATGTCATCACGTGATTTGATCTGTCTTTTTATGCTGTAGTCTATGATGCGTCAGATACAGGATGCAGATGGCTCTTTTTCCATTGGCTCACGTGAATCTAGGGGTGTGTCTCTACTCAGCTACCTTGCTGACTCCACCCAGGCACTTAGTCCTCCAGCCTATGAGAAGACAAGCAACCCGACACTTACACACCTCCCTGTTCTTGACACTAAGTTACAGGATGATGATCTATCAAAGACGCCCACAGAAGATGTATGAATTGATAGTGTGTGTGTGTATATATTTATATATATATATTAGGGCTGGGCAACCGCATACAAAATAACAGTTTGTGTTTAAATCGTATATGTGTGTTTGGTGTGTAGAACTATTTTGTATATATAAATACACACACATGCATGTATATATTTAAGAAAAATGTGTTGTTAATATATCAAAAATGTATTTGTATATATAATATTATTTCTGAATAAATATATATAAAGTATATCCATGCAAATATTTCTTAAATATTTACTTGCATGAGTGTGTATTTATTTATATATACAAAATAGTTATAAACACCACACACACATATATTATGTAAACACAAACTTTTATTTTGGATGCAATTAATCGCGATTAATCGTTGCCCAGCTCTAATATCTCATTGTATATAAATCACTTTTTGCTTTTAGTTGATTTTTTTTGATTTACATATTTTAAATTATAAAAGTTTTCTAGATATATATTAAAATATTTTTTTTAAATATGTCAGAATAAATCATATTACTGTATTTTTCAAATTTATATTATCATAAGCAATAACCAATTATATAATTAAATAAAAAAAATCGTTATACATTTTTTATTATTGCTGCTTGGCCCCTACTGATTTTAGTATATTTTTTTATATTTTTATTATTAGCAATAACCACTTTCATAATAAAAAATAAAATCATTAGTAGTTTTTTATTATATATTTGTTTTAAAATGACATTAAATTGGTTTAATGTTTTATATATTAAGAAAACATCTGTTAAGATGTAATGATGTAAAAAAAAAAAAAATGTAAAAAGCTAAACAGTTGCAAAAAAATATTCAGAAATGACTTCTTTCCATTGATAACTCTAGGCAGAGGAGAGTGTGGAGTGGCCCTCGGAGACTGACACAGCTTCCCCCAGTCCTGCAGGCAGTAAGCGAGACTCCATATTCCTCTTCCACCGCTACAGCACGCCTGACATCCTCAAGCAAAATGGAGAGGTGAGCCCTGGCACAGGTGAAGGAGACGCTCCAGAGACGACGGCCCCTGAAGAGGAGAGCACGTTCAAGCAGGCACTTGAAGACAGACCTGCACTGAAGGACAGAAAGGCAGGCAAAGCACAGAAGAAAGCCGTGGCTAAGAGAGTTGCTTCACTGCTAGAGGAGCTGAATAAAGAGCTGGAGGAAACTAGCAATGTAGAGACATTAAAGAAATTAGATCTGCAGATACGCCAACTCAATGAGGTCTTGGAGGTGAGATCAGTGGATTGGTGGATTAATGGAGTAATTTAAAAAAAAAAATTTATTGATGGAAGTGTAAAAACATATCTGGGACATTTTTCACCCCAAAATCAAAAGAAGGATTTTTTTTTTTTTTACGCCTTATTTATTTTTTATAGATTTTATTTATAAATTTTGTTTAATATATATTTTAAATGATTTTTATTAAAAAATATATATATATATATATTTATATAAAATTTTAAAAATAAATATTAATGTAAATGACTTTTTTCTTTTCATTTAATTTGTGGGGTTAAATTGACCTGAACGTGTTTTCATGACATTGACCCTATATTGTGATGGATTTGGACTGTTTTTCTCTATGAATTGTGGGTAAATATCTGTTTGCTGCTGTCTCATTGACTTGTTCTTCATCTTCCTGATGTTAGAAGGACCTCGACCCTCCACAGATGCCCTCATCTCAGACACTAGCAGTAGAGGAAGAGGAAGTGCTGGGCAGTTTCGACTTCCTCTCTGCAGATTCTAATGAAGATGAGATCTCATGTATGGGCAGCATCAGACTCGGGTACACTGGGTAAGTCAACACATGTTTAGCTGGGCTGTCCAAGTAAATCTCATAAAGAAATGGCAAAACAATTGCCACACATAAAATGTAATTTGGGCATGTTTTTGAGAGTTTAAATTGCAAATCTATTGGTGCAAAAGAAATATGTTGATCTACAGCATTGATCTGACCATATGGGCTAATGATTACAAGTATGTATAAATGCATGCAAAAAAAGGAAAGTTGCTGCGCTAACATGTTAAATGAAGACTTAAAGTGCCATCTTGTGGATGAAGTGGAGTAATGCATGAAATGTGCATTCTCACATTTATTTCTCAGGCAAAGGTCAGATGCCCAATAGGCTATGCATATTATTTTATGTTACTAACAATCACATTTAAACAAGATATTATATATTTTTATGTATTTACCTTTGCATGGATATCATGATATTACACAACTTTTTTTGCATATAAAATTGTAAATGTATTAGCTTAGCAAATATTAATTAAAGTTTAAGGTTTCAGGAAAAAAGAAACACTAAATATCTATCTTTATAATAATTAAACTATAAAAATGTAGTTGTTAAAATCAAATAATTTAGGCAAGACAGGTTTATTTATATTGCACATTTTGCAATATATTGCAAGTCCTTTTAAATTGCTTAAATATAAAAATTGCTCTGTGTGTGTATATGTGCATTTATATATACAGTGTGTATATATGTATATATATATAAGGCCAAACTTTATTTGATTTGATTTCAGGATTGGTTCATTTAATGAGAACAGCCTGAAAAGCATGGGTCTGTTCTCTCAGGATAAGAACTCTCCATCCTCTGAGGACATGGGTGAAGCGCAGGTCAGACAGCGAGGAGTCGGTGCAGTAAAGCCGTCACTCACTACAGGAGTCTACAGTCTGGATCAAGCTCTTGAAACCCACCTCAGTGTGTGTGTGGTGCTGCTGAGTGTGAGAAGAAATCAGTCTCATTAAACCAGTGTTGATTAATCACACACTAATCAATATATAGCTTATTATTACTATGTGTAAGTGTGTGTGTAAGCTCAAGTTCTGTCTCCTCCCAGGCATTGAAGCATTCTGACTCGGATCTTGTGCATAAAGACATCATGGAGGAACTGTCACGCCAAGTTGACGTGCTGGAAAAAATCTGTGCTCTGGCGCAGAGGATGATAGATGAAATCTCAGTGACAGAACGTAAGTCTTGCAAAATGCCAGGCTATACCACTGAGCTATCTCTCTTTAGATCCTAATAATTGAGATTTATAGATTAACGCTAATATTAACCTTTAGTTTATGATTGATTATGGCACATTTCTGTTCCCATACCATCTAAGGGTAACACTAGAATATGTAATATGAGCTATGACTGTTACTTTATACTGTTGGTGTGTCAGTGTGAAGCGCTGTAGATGCATTAGTCATGTGTGTGGATGTGTCTCAGTGTTGGCCAGAGCTCCTAAGGGGATTGAGGTATTTTGGAAGGACTGCAGCGAGAGTGATTCGCCTTTCTGCTGCCCTGCGGATGGTTTTCTCAGGACACTGCGCAAACATTACATCCACAAAGTCAAAGCCAAACAGCCAGGCCAGACTGATGCAGGTGCAGATGTTCTCTTCTAATGTTGCAATCCACAAACCACTAAAATAAAATAATAATGTTACAGTATATTCTGTTCTTTCTTGAGAATCTCATTCACACATAAAAAAATATTGTACTAATTTCTGCTGGATTTTTCTATTCTATTGTATTTTTTTTTAAAGTATTTTTCTTTCTATGTTTCTATGTTAAATAGTATTTTTTCATTCTTTAATAATTTAAAAAGCTTTTAATAAATAATTCTACAAGATAAAAAATATAATAATACTTAATTGTCCTTGAAATAATCTTTGTATAATAAAATAAATGTATTTTCTTGTCCCTTCGTATTTAAGAATTAATTAAAAAAATAAATATCTAATAGACTATAATATATAATATTATATATAGAATAATTGCATATAATCTTATAGTATAATTTATTATAGTAGTATAATGTTATTATATTTTGAATGATATTTTTTCTCTATTTTAATTGTAGTAAAATAATATATTTTTAAGATATTGCTATTCTATTCATTGTAACTTCTATACAGTATATGTAACAATTATATATTTTATTTTACTATATTACTATTATTATTATATTTATTGTTTCGTCAGAATTTAATTCTTAAAGGTGCATTGCGCAACATTTCATGTTAAAAATAGCCATTTTTCTAACCCATACATGCTTAAACAATTTCCTGATGGGCTGCATGAGCCCTTCTCTGATCACTGCGATTATCCTGTACAGTAAAATAAATGAGAGGGATTCGGGCTCGAATTTGAGACTGGGCGTGACGTCATGCGTGTTCACGCTCACCTGGCTATGTCTGGCAGGCTATGTTTCGCTTGTCGCCAGTGGGGGCGTAGTTCTGCAAAAACTCAGAGACTTGCGTAATGCACCTTTAAACTAGCATCCAATAATTTGCAAAATAATAAATATGTTTTGTGTTGTCTGTTTCACACTACTGAAGTAGTATAGTATCTAAAGTATAGATGTTTGTGGTCTCTCTCCTGCAGTTTTCAGTCAGTTGCTGTATCAGGTGCAGTGCAGCTGTATGATGGCGTCTGTGACTCTGTGCACTACAGACCGAGTGACTGTGTTTCAGCTCTTAGTCTACCTCAACAGATGGAGTATAAGTGACTTTGGGGAGCACATCTCTCTCCTCTCTAAAGAAGGTAAGGCTTAAATACAGATGCTTCTGTCCTCGATGGTTCCCTGCGAGTTTACTGCATCCCTCAAGGATTCTTCCCATTAGATCTCATTAAGAGACTTCCCCCTGTCTTTCTCCCTCGGATCGGCTTGCTGCAGTGTATCTGATAGCCTGTCTGGAGAGTCCCAAGAGGAAGCGAGCTCTGCAAAAGCTGAAAGGGAAGCGCATCTCTGAGCTGCAGCCGACAGGACGGGTCCTCCAGCTCCTGGCCAAGCTGCAGACGGACGCCAATCACAAGGTGTCTTCAGCGGCCTCGACCTGCCTCGGCAGAGCCAAGCGCTCCAAATCCTTCAGGACAAAGGTAGAAGGAGTCTGAAGGCCTGTTCACATCACGGATGATGATATAGTTTTCTAATATAAAACAATTGTAGAGTCCGCACCACTGTAACTATAACGAAAATGGCACTGAGGAAGAAGATTGTTGGAAGAAGATTTTTTTACAGCTTATGAACAATAAAGATACTGACAGCCAATCAAAATCCATCCTACTTTAAATAGCTTGAGCATTTAATGTGGCAGGTAAATCTTAAGTTATCGTTCTTGGTGTGAATAGGCCTTTCACAAAGCTATCTTTCTTATTGTTTTCTAATGTAATCACATTCAAGCATTTTTATAGTTGTGTGGCTTTTATAGGCAGTGGTTCACTACACAGACTTGTTGAAAAACAGCAACGCACATGTGCGGCGCGAGGCCTGTCTGGCTCTGAAAAGTCTGAAGGTAAATAGCTGCTCTTTTAGTGCGTTTGCTTTCTATTGACCTTTTACTGCTGTGTTCAACATTGATAATGATAAGAAATGTTTCTTGAGCAGCAAATCAGCATATTAGAATGATTTCTGAAGGATCTGGAGTAATGATGCTTCAGAAAATTCAGCTTTGCATCACAGGAATAAATTACTTTTTAAAATGTATACAAATACAAAACAACATTTTTTAAATTGTAATAATATTTCACAATACTGTTTTGCTGTGTTTTCTTTCAAAAACATGCAAAAATCCTACAGACTCTAAATTTTTAATGTTGGACAAGAATATGCGTTTGTGTGATGTTTTGTTATTTATGCGTTTCTGTGTGTATTATTTGAGATGGTCAGTTTAGATGAAGAGGTTCTGTGTTTTCTTAGGCCTCAGAGTGTGCAGAGCATGTAGCTGAGCTGTGGCGCTCTGCAGACGAAGACCTGAGGAACGCCGCACGAGAGACCGTGCTGTCCTTTGGTACGTGACCGGTTGGCTGTTATTACTGCGTCTATGTCATATGACACTTATTTCTCCCACTATCAGCACATACATGCTCTGCGTCCGAATCCAAAGGCTTGCTTTGCTGCCTAGTCAGTCAGTAGCTATGTTTCCATCCAAAGTTGTGAATTTAAAGGAGTAGTTCACTGTTAAAAAAAACAACTTTTTCTGATAGTTTACTCACCTCCATGTCATCCAAGATGTCCATGTCATTCTTTCTTCAGTCGAAAAGAAATTAACGTTTTTGATGAAAACATTCCAGGAGTTTTCTCCATATAATGAACTATCCTTTTAATTGGCAGTGTTGCATGAAGGCACCTCCTTTGATTTGAGATCATTTAATGCAGAACATGAAATCCAGGGGGAGGAGTTGGATCAAACTCCTCCCACCTTACATATACCGAAACCTACACATTTCTGCCCCCTGATCCCTCACCCCACCCCTAATCCTACCCATCTCCACCCCTTAGATCTGGATCCAACTCCTCCCACATTACATATAACTAAACCTACCCATCTCCACCCCTGATCCCTAACCCCACCCCTAATCCTACCCATCTCCACCCCTGATCCCTAACTCCACCCCTAATCCTACCCATCTCCACCCCTGATCTCTAACCCCACCCCTAATCCTACCCATCTCCACCCCTGATCTCTAACCCCACCCCTAATCCTACCCATCTCCACCCCTGATCCCTAACCCCACCCCTAATCCTACCCATCTCCACCCCTGATCCCTAACCCCACCCCTAATCCTACCCATCTCCACCCCTGATCCCTAACTCCACCCCTAATCCTACCCATCTCCACCCCTGATCCCTAACCCCACCCCTAATCCTACCCATCTCCACCCCTGATCCCTAACCCCACCCCTAATCCTACCCATCTCCACCCCTGATCCCTAACTCCACCCCTAATCCTACCCATCTCCACCCCTGATCTCTAACCCCACCCCTAATCCTACCCATCTCCACCCCTGATCCCTAACCGCACCCCTAATCCTACCCATCTCCACCCCTGATCTCTAACCCCACCCCTAATCCTACCCATCTCCACCCCTGATCCCTAACCCCACCCCTAATCCTACCCATCTCCACCCCTGAACCCTAATCCCATCCCTAATCCTACCCATCTCCACCCCTGAACCCTAATCCCATCCCTAATCCTACCCATCTCCACCCCTGAACCCTAATCCCATCCCTAATCCTACCCATCTCCACCCCTGATCCCTAACCCCACCCCTAATCCTACCCATCTCCACCCCTTAGATCTGGATCCAACTCCGCCCCCTGGATCTCGTGTACTGCAATGAGGTGCTACTGGACCATCTTCCAAAAAAGTCACGTCTCATGATCTAGAACAAATTCAAGTCAGTTTGAATGTCTTATTTTCCTACTAAGTTTCTTTTCATTCACAGGGAATCATATATGTTCACACAAGTGCTTATCTTCTTTTAAATTACATGTAATTTATCCCCATACTACATATAACACTTCTTGTAAAGTGCAGAGGTGCCGTTTCCCAGACTGAGCCCTTTTTCTTTCTTAGGTAAGAAAGGTCACATGGCATTCCAGCGCATGGATCAGATCTACGAGCTACAGGACGAGGCTTACAAGAACCTGGAAACAGAAATCACAATCTTATAGGACAATCACAAACTCAATCTGTTACCTGATTGGATGGTGCTGAGAGACTGCGAGGTTTTGATTGAATACATTCCATCTGTGTGTACTATTGCCAAGTATTTAATATGCAGTTTTATTATTTTCTTTTTATGTAATTTTAATTTTTAATTATAAGTGAAATATTTATAAATACACTGTCTTCTATATTCATGTATCAAAATGAGTAAACATGAAATATATTGATAATAAATGTAAATATGAGAGCTCTGACTTGTTCAGTTCAACCACTAACAATTTCCCCATAATAAGCAACCTAAAATCAAATAATTAATATGCTCAAATCTTCAAACATCAACAGCTTGGATTCGTGTACATAAAATTGTAACACTTTTCCATTTTTAACATACTTCTAAAGCATTTGTTGATTTTAATTCATAATTATAAATTTACTAATACATTAAAAGTTCCATCAATTGAATATACCTGAGCTAACATTAATTAAAGTGAATAGTTGTATTTTTTTACCAAATAACGTTAATATCTTACCAAATTGTCTTCTACATTCCCAAGCAATCCATTCCATGTCTAGGTTTTTCATCATACCAGGATGTGTCACATTATTTTATCTCACAAATGGTAATTTAGCACATTTTCCTCATCAAATTCTCATATCTGTAAAATAATTATGAAATTTGAAGGGTAAAATAAGCTTAATTACCATAAACAAGTGTATTTTTTGCCAATTTTCAAGGCAAGTACAGAATATGACAAATAATAAACAAACTATAACAAACTATAAATTTTAATTTGACAGAATTTTTTTATTGACATTTTAAAAACATCTGTATGAATAAAACCTTTCCCTAGTGAGCAGGTCTGTCCAATAAAACTGCTTTAATGAGACTCACCCTGCTCTATGGGTTGTATTTGCTCAACCAAGAAATTCCCCCAGAGAAATGCATGTTTATTTTGAATGGAAATGGAAAAAAATAATTTCATGATTGATTTACACAGCTGCTCTAAAGTCACTAAGCATAGCATCACACTGTCAAAAAGACAGCAGTTTTTCATCCGCGCACACACACACAGCAGCTAGACTTTAGATCGTTAGAAACTTTATTGAATTAAAAGTGGTGACAGCATTTGAGCTGACTCAGCAGTGTATAAGCACGCCTTCAGCTCAACGTACACAACAAAATTCATCCGCCGTTTATCCGCTTAACACTTGGACTCATACTGATTATTGACACCCAAAATCGCAATATACCAACGTATACACACACACACATTATCATCTACCCCTTTGGAAAAATTCAGCATTCAGAAATGAAAAAGTGCACCGAACACAACGAGAATGGAACCCATGCAAGCTTCATTCGCCCTTCGCCGCGGGGAGGAGACTCAAGTCAGGGAGCGAGGGCGCTTTGTTACGGGTTACAGCGGAGAGCAGTTTTCAACATGGGTAGAGCGAACCGAAACTTCCCAGCATTCCCCGTGGCTCTTCCACTATCAGTCCGGGTTGAGACGGCCCAGGGTTTGGGCGTGAAAACCGAGTCTAGGTGCCCACAATGTTGGGGTCGTGTGCGGAGTCCGGCAGTGGAGAATCGTGGCAGTGGTACAGAAAGCAGTTTCCCCAGCAGCTGTAGCAGATGAGGAACAGCGCCGCCAGGAAGACTAAGGCACAAATGGTACACGGCTTCCTCTCCAACAGGAAGCTGAGCAGGTAGAAGCCCATGAACATGGAGTGGTTGAACCACAGGGCCGGATTCAACGGTTTGGGGATCAGGAGGACCGGGAGTAACCACTGGAGGCAGTACATGGTCTCTGCGTGTGGAGCCGCCTGGTTTGAGCTCAGATATCCGACGTGACGCTACACAATCACAAATCCCCTGTGTATCTGCAAGGGATTAGACGCAGTATCCAAATTCCAGGCGAGGCCTTTGGAAAAGGAGAGAGAAAGAGAAAACAATTTGATACTCGACTCACACCACCATATAAGGGACCGAGGTCTAAGCATACGTGTGTATTTTAAGATATTGTGCTGCTGAAGGCTATTTTTAGTTCCTGGCCTTGTGTCTAACTTCTGTCTACATAAACATGACAGCACCTTAAGTCGTATTTGACTAGTAGCGCTCGATTTCATCAAATGTTTCAGAAGAGAAAGACTTCATAGACAATCTCATACTGGAACAGTTAGGCTATTTAGGTAGCTTATCATACGTTTAAAAGATTTAAGGGTGTGAAACATATTTAAAAAAAGAGCAAAACAACCAAATCTATTCTTTTCTATTCTATTTTACCCCATTTAGACTAACATTACACTGTTTAACGTTACATGAAGGAATGGCAATCTACAAAAGTGATAGAAAATTGGCAACTAGTGTGACAATATTAATTATGGACATATCCAATTGTTAGGTTTATGTTTTTATGTTTCTTCGTATTAAAATGTTTAGGAGTATGGCAAAAAAGCCAAACACGTTTTTTTTTAAGAAAATGATAAACGTTTCCCAATTTATACTGGCATTTCTTACACTGTTTACACGAAGGGTCGACTAAACAAAACCAACAAAAAAAAAATACAGATTTAGTCATTAGTGAGGTTTTGTAATTAATTTTGTACATTTCCAATATTTCACTTTGTGTTTTGAAAATTGTTCTTCTGTGCACACCCCAGACATTTTAAATGTGGGCTAAATTTCCCCATTTTGACTTCTCACACCGTTTACACGAATGATCGACAATAAACAAGAAAAAAAACCTATAAATATAGCAAGAAGTGTGACATTATAGTTCATTATGAATATATCCAAGAAGTCAGTTTTAAATTATGTCATAAAAAGAACACATATGAACAATAAAAACATTGTGATGTTAGCTTGCTTGCTAACCGGATATCTAGCATGTGGCTAGGTGTTACACGAAAATAAACTTTCCGACGTCAAATGTAAACATATATAATTTGGCAGTCACTAATAAACACGCTTTAAAACTCAATAAGACTAAAATGATCATGTTCAGACCTGCCATTCTTTAAATTCAATCCCGATCGTGCACATAAGCCGTCGCCATTGAGCTCTTTAGGGTGATTGCGTAGATTTGTGGAAGTCTAAGGACCCGACCGACGGCCTGTGTCCCACAGATGCCTGATGAAAATTCATTCAAATGACCAGATATTAATTTTTATATAATTATTTTCGTGTTTCTCTCTCAGTTTGTTTATTGCATATATACTTGCCCTTTTACCATAGTATTGTGTCCAAAAATACCATTTTTTTCATCATCAGTTTAGTACCCATCATCAGGTCAGTTTTCTAAATTGGATATAGGGTGTTTATCATTGATGTAAGGTTGAAAGAAAAAATGTGTACCTTTGAATAATAAAGCAAACTTTTTAATGTGTTTTGCTGATATGTCTTGTCTACATATTACAGATGCCATCCAACACCTGGTTTTTAGTGCGTGAAACATTCATTTGTGCATCCCACACCATTCAGACTGAGAACTAATTAGAAACGCAATGTGTGTGTGTCTACAGGTTTATATTGCATTGGCACTGTTGGGACCAAATGTCCCCACAAACCTCAAATCACCAACATTGTGGGGACCGGCCATGTGGAAAATACAAAAATGCAGAATTCACAATGGTTTCTGTGATGGGTTAGTGTAAGTTGATAAAATATGTTTGAACAGAAGCCTATAAAAACCATTACACCAATAGAGAGTCCCCACAAAGATGTGGGGGTGGGGGGTTGATGGCAATATCTAAAATTCTTGTGGAGACATTGTTTGGTCCCCTTGAGGAACACAGCTTATAAATCATAGCCTACTAAAATTTTACGTGATGGGTAGGGTTATTGTTTGAGAGACTACAGTTTTTCCAGTATAAAAAACATTATATCCCCATCCCATCTAACATGAAACCCCTTTATAACCTGTGCGTGTGTATCAATATAAAACACATTACTGACTATATAAAATATAATTTAATATAATATGCAATTCAGATCAAAAAGCCTGTCAGAAGCCCTGACAGCATGCAAAATCAATTCTAATAGTGGCATTTTTAATAATTAAACATAACCTATATGCAACATCCTTGATGTGGGCATCTTAACAGACACCATTGAAGCTGAACTAGTGCATACTAAAGGTTCACTTCAGAACCACGCAAAATGTGCATCGACAGCTGTGGATTGTGTCGTTCATGATGATGAATAATCTGACGTTTTTTCATTTGTGTTTAATGCTGCCTGAAAATGAGCGTGTTTGTATCGCGCATGGCTAAATCTCCCCTCGAGATCTTCCTGTCAGCATCCCACCGTTACTATGATGAAATCTGTGTGTGGAGCGATCGCGCCTGGAGGTGAGTGCGCCTTCTCTTTCTTACCAATCACGGAAAATATATTAGGAGGTGTTCATCGCACGCTACATTTGCTACCCTGGTTGTTAAATATTCAAATGGAAACATAAAACTCTTGAGGTGTGTCACAAGGTCATATCGGAAGCTATAATGTGAAGAACGCGATAATGTGAGCTTTCACACGGGTAATAGTCGACGCGTCGCCCGCTTGTTAATTATCGCTCGCTCTCAAGGAATGAGATACACGTATTCAGGGTGAAGTGAGGTAAAATGGGCCAGCCTGTGGTAAATCATCTGGAGCAAAATTATATGGCATCTGCACATTGTCCAACCCGCTGTTTGTGTTGTGTGTTATCATCAGGGTCTCTTTTATTCGTTACAAATGTCGCAAAAACAAGCCATGGTCATCACTGCTTCTTTCAGGTAAAACGAGCCAGAGAATCCTTGCAAAACCAACATTGTGAACAAAGCATGTTGTAAATTAACAGTAAATTCTAATTTAGTTTATGTCATGGCATTACAAAAAATGTAAGAAATTACTAGTGTAGCCTTGAAACTGAGATACGTTGAATGGGTTATTTCTCTAAATTGTAAATTTGAATATAACGTTAATAGTTGAAACTGACATACCGTTGTTTTTCGTGTATGTGCACATTTATAGACAGCGAAATAGACTGAGGCTTTAATGGGAAATATTTAAAATAATTTCGATATTATTTAATTAATAATTAAATGGCTAAACATGTAGTTGATTGATGGTAAATGTAAAGGTCATTTTATGAGTGCAATCTATGCAAATTGTTTGACTATTAGCGTCCACTATCACAGTAATCTAAAAGTAACCTAAATTAAAGATTTTAGTTGTGGTGATTGGTTGATAAAGTGATGCTTATTTCCCTT